TGATAGGGAAAAGTTTTTACAACCTATAGTGCATCAAAACGAAATCTATTTAGCTCAAGTGTCCTAAGCTAGGTTTAAGATTTTCACCTAGGTTTTTGGACGGTTTGACCCGTTTATAGAATTGTTGCACTTGTAGATTGTCCACGCTCCTTTTTGTATAAGACACCATGGTCGGAGAAGCTACGGATCGAGCTGGAGAAGACTTGGATGTGGCTAGCCTTCGGTTTGGCTGAGAACTCATCTCCGGCAGCCTCCAAATGCCGAATTTTGATGGTGAGATGTTGAGGGACGTCTGGGAAGTTTAGAGGAACTGGGGGCTGGGTTTGAGAGAGCTTGGATAGAGAGAGAGAGAGCTAGGATGCGAATGAGACTCATTTTGAGCCTTTTTCCCTATTCAATCCCCTCCAGATTGAATGAAGGGCTGGGATCGTTTGAGTGAGCTCCCAGATGAGTGACATCTATTCCAGGAGTGGTTGGGAGCAGAGGTATCAAAAGATAAAGGTACATCCTAGGTGGAAAGTCTATTTTAGCCTTTTGTCCATGTGGAATTAAATGTGAGCCTTTAGATCCTGATCTAAAGGTTGTGAATAGCTCTAAGAAGCTTCTAGAGTATCTTCAAACAGTTGGAGAGGGATTAGATGGGTTGGATTAGTCTAAACCAAGAGGTTTAGCCACTTAAGAATTTGTTGACCATATGTTAACTGGTCAACTGACCCTGTTGACTGCTGAGGTGTCATATGGGAGGGTTTTGGAGTTAAATAAATTATTGAAATAAATTTGGGGTAAGTGGGCTAGCTTGAGTCAAGCCAAATGGACCTTTAAGCCTCTTAAAGAGGTTTATTGACCATGTTGACCAGTCAACTGGTCAACAAAAGGTGAGGTGGCAGCCAAGGTCATCTAAGGAATTAATTAGAATAGCCTTGAGAGGGTTTGACAAAGATTTGTATTCATTTGGAATTTAATTAAAAGTGGAAAGGCTTAAGGGTTGATTTTGGTCAACCTAGGTTGACTGGGTCAATCAGATTGAACCAAAGTGTGGGTCTAGTCTGGAAAGGTTTGATACAATATTTGAAGTCTGGTAGAGGTGGTTTCAGGGTTTAAATGGGTCATTTGGGTCAAAACACCTGTTTAGAGCCTTAAAGGGCCTCTTGGGTCAAACCTGTTGACTTGGTCAACCAGGCCTAGGGGTTGGGAATGGGTCCACAGGTTTGAAATAACATTTGAAACTTGCTTGGGGTGGTTGCTTTCAATTTGGAGTTCATTTGCTTTGAAATCCCTATTTGAGCCCCATAGGGGTATTTTGGTCATTTTGGGCTCATGCCCACTAGGGGCTGAGATGAGTCCAGAAAAATATAGTTCATTATTCAACATGTCAGGATTAATGGTCTTGAAGTGACTAGAGGCTTTGGTGAAGGCTCTAAGGTCAGAATCTTCTAGGTGACATGTCCAGTGGCATAGGCTGTAAATATTTGAAGGTTTTACAGCCTTTGGATTTTGATTTAGTTTCTAGGGTTAGAGACCTCAGAATGGGCTCAAATTTGGAGGGTTTCCTCCAGATACATGTCCCATCAGTATGCAACTGTCAGACTCTAAATTGGAGGTCATTTGATTGGTTTTTTGAAATGTTTGAAAATTCAATGGAAAAGGCTTTCAGGACTTGGACCTTTGGCCTTGAATTTTTGTTTGAAATTCTGGATTTGAATTGGGTTTTGGATTTGATTGATTAGATATCTGGATTGATTTATGATCTGGGTAGATCCTAATGTCTAGAGTTGATCCTAAGGTCTGAAGTCTAGAAGGATCCTAGGACCTAAAATAGATCCTAAGGTCAGGATTCTAGAAGGATCTTAGAGTTTGAATTGATTTAAAGATTAGATTGATTTAGGGTCAGGATTGGTCCAAGTGACCTCATACAAAAATGAGGTCAACAAATGGACCCCCAATATGTGTAATAAAATGAAATTCTATTGCACATATTGGTGTTGACCGAGATTAAAGATCAAGTCTGGAATTTTGATCCTAAGGGAATGAAAAGTTCATCTATGGGGGATCAAGATTTAAATTGATACTAGGGTAGTGTCACGGAGGGCGTATTCTACCACTAGTGGATTTAGTCCTAAAGGAAGGAAAGTCTATCCCTATATGAAAAAGAAGTTTGGGTGATCGTATAGAAAGGAAGAATTCCTAACTATAGAAGATCAGATTTAAGTTTTGATTCTAAAGGAAAGGGAGACTAATCTTAGAAGATTGAATTTGGATTTGATTCTAAGGGAAGGAAAGACCTAACCCTAGAAGATTGAGTTATCGTATAAAAAGGAAGAAATCCTAACTACCGAGGATCGAATTTGAGTTTGATACTAGGGTAGTTCCACGAGGGGCGTACTCTACCACTAGTGGATCTAATCCTAAGGGAAGGAGGAAACCTCAACCCTAAGGAAAAGAAGGTGACTGAACTATAGTGGGGCCCAAGAGGCTTAAATCCACTACTAGTTAGTCGAGATCCTAGGAGATAGGAGGTACGGGAACTCACACTTACTCCTAAAGGATCGGGTTTGTATTTAAACTAGGATGGTGCCACGAGGGGCTTGCTCCATCACTAGTGGATCTAATCCTAAGGAAAGGAAGCTCTGGGACTCACACTTAACCTTAAAGAAAAGAAATTACTGAACTATGTGAGGCCCAACAGGCTTAATTCCACTTTTAGTCAGTCAAGATCCTAGGAGATAAGAAGCACAGGGACTCACACCTACTCCTAACAGATCGGATTTGTACTAGGTATTCAATGACTAACCTAGCTAGAAAGCACAGGGACTCACATCTAACTAGGGGAACTAGCCAAGGAGATAGTCTGCCCAAATCTCTAAGGATTTGGCAAAAGCTATTTAACCCAAAATTTGATTTTATACACTAGGATGGTGCCACGAGGGGCTTGCTCCACCACTAGCAGATCTAATCATAAGGAAAGGAAGCACGGGGACTCACACCTAACCTTAAAGAAAAGAAAGAGTGACTAAACTATGTGGGGACCAATAGGCTTAATTCCACTTTTAGGCAGTCGAGATCCTAGGAGATAGGAAGCACAGGGACTCACACCTACTCCTAACGGATCAGATTTGTACTGGGTTTTGAATGACTAACCTAGCTAGAAAGCGGAAGGACTTGCATCTAACTAGGGGAACTAGCCAAAGAGATAGTCTGCCCAAATCTCTAAGGATTTGGCAAAAGCAATCTAACCCAAAATTTGATTTTATACGCTAGGATGGTGCCACGAGGGGCTTGCTCTACCACTAGCAGATCTAATCCTAAGTAAATGAAGCACGGGGACTCACACTTAACCTTAAAGAAAAGAAAGAGTGTAGTTATAGAATTCAAAAAGAATTGAATGAGAATAAGTCGAATTCAGTCAAAAATTAAATATTTTATTGATTCAAAGATCGAGCTACATCAAGCATAGTATTTCTTAAGGAAGCGTCCATTTACAGGAAGCATTGGGTGATTTCCCTTACAATCCACTAGCTGATACGAGCCTCCTTCGTAGACTGTTTCTACTACGAAGGGTCCTTCCCATGTTGGTTCAAACTTTCCACCGAGTTTTCGGTGTGCTAAGATAGGCCTCCGAAGAACCAAGACCAAGTCGCCTACTTGGAAGGTTCAAGGTCGCACTAACTTATCGCGAGCTTGAATCATTCGGGCTTTGTACAACTCTAGATTTTGTTAAGCTTGAAAGTGACGTCCTTCGAGGCTTTTGAGTTCTTCCAAACGGAGTTGTGCATTTTGTTGAGTTGTAATCTGGTTATGAATTGCAATTCTGAGTGAAGGGATTTGAACTTCGAGAGGGAGTACGGCCTCAGATCCATACACTAGTGCAAACGATGTGGATTGGGTCGGGGTTCGATAAGTGGTCTGGTAGGCCGACAAAGCTTCCACCAACCTCTCATTCCACTATCGTTTATTGTCATCAAGGGTCTTTTTGATGATTTGAACCAAAGTTTTATTGAAGGCCTCAGCCAATCCATTAGCCCGTAGGTAATAGATTGTTGAGTATCTCTAATCGATACCATGGCAATTTGCAAAATTATTAATCTTTGTAGACTTGAAAGCGGACCCATTATCGGATATGATTCTACGTGGCACACCGAATCTATATACGATATGGTCACAGAAGAATTTCATTACATGGTGTGATGTTACATTTATTAATGGGACTGCTTCTGCCCACTTTGAAAAGTAATCAGTCGCTGCTAAAATGAAGCGATGACCCTTTGAAGAAGGAGGATCAATTGACCCAATGATATACGTGCCCCAGCTTTCGAAGGGCCACGAGGCTATCGTGGGATGCAACACGTTAGGCGGCTGATGTAAAACCACACTATGTACTTGGCACTGATGACAACACTTTGCAATTTTCATGCAATCGTCAATCATCGTAGGCCAGTAGTATCTAAGTCTTTTGATCTTCATTTTCATCTTTGGACCCGATTGATGAGCACCGCACAGTCCGGCATGGACTTTGTTAACAATCTTCAGGGTCTCACATTTGTTTAAGCAATGGAGCCACATCTGACCAAACGATTGTCGGTACAACGTATTATTAACTAGTACGTAAGATAGGGCACATTTCTTGATTTGATTGGCAAGCGATTTCTCGCGAGGGAGCCTGCCTTCTTGAAGATATTCAATTATTGGTTGTCTCCAATCTTCTTCTTCATCGACTGCTGAAGAGGTAGAAAGGACCTGGAAAACTTGTTTGTTGATGTACTCCAAATCTATAGTAGACAGGACTTGACGACCCTGCACCTCTATAGGGATGAAGTCTTCTTCTGGGCAGGCAAATTCCTTTGCAAGCTTTGTGAGGGCATCCGTCGAAGAATTTCTTCCACGGGGAATCCTATACATAGTTACAATTAGAATTTGCTCGAGCAAGTGACCGGTGTACTGGTGGTATTTCAGGAGTTTAGGATTCAAAACCTTGTAGGTCCCCGCAATCTGGTTGATCACCAGTTGAGAGTCACCAAAGATTTTAATCTCTTTAATCTCTATTAAAATTGTAAGTTCCAGACCAGTTATCAGAGCTTCGTACTCAGCCTCGTTGTTTGTATAAGGTTTTGATAAATGGTAGGAAAAGTGCATCATTCCCTTATCTGGTGTTATGAATACCAGGCCACCTCCGGCTTTCCGGGGAATAGTAGATTCAGGTGCTTTACCCCGTTGAGAGGACGCAGCACCATCAAAATACATTTCCCAAGTTTGAGTTTAGATTCCTCGAAGCTCATGATTTGTTCGTCGGGTAAATCATCGTTTAGAGGAGATTCTGCCGGCAACGGCTGTACCACAAGGAAGTCGGCGACGGCCTGCCCTTTCACAGCACGCAGGGGAATGAAAGTGATTTCAAATTGGAGCAATGTTATAGACCAACGAGCCAAACGTCCTGACAATGTAGGCCTGGTAATAAGGTATTGTAAGGGTTTGAAACTAGAAATTAAGTTGATTTGATGAGAAAGTATGTAATGTCTTAGTTTTTGTGCTGCAAAAACTAGAGCAACATAATGTTTCTCAATCGTTGGATATCGAATTTCCGTTGGTAGAAGTCTCCGACTTAGGTAGTAGAGAGCGTTCTCTTTTTCCTTCATCATTGACTTGAGCAAGGAGGGCCCCGAGAGACTCGTCAAGGGCCGCAATGTAAAGGATTAAAGGTCTCCCCGGAATGGGGGCTGTCAAGACTGGTGGATTTGCTAGGTATTGTTTGATATTTTCAAAAGCGGATTAACATTTCTTGTCCCAAATGAATTTGGCATCCTTCTTAGCGAGGACCGAGAATGGCTGACATCTCCCGGAAAGATTGGAAATGAATCTTCTTATATACGCCAGCCTACCTTGAAGAGACCTTAGTTGAGTAAGACTTCTAGGAGGCGGCATATTTAAGATAGCTTAGATTTTAGCAGGATCAATTTCAATTCCACGGTGCCTTACTACGAAACCTAGAAATTTCCCTGACGTGACACCGAAGGCGCACTTCAAGGGATTCATCTTAAGGTCATAGCGGCGCAACCCCTCGAAGACGATTCTTAAGTCATAAAGATGAGCCTCTTTAACTTTACTCTTGACAACTAAATCATCGATGTAGCACTCGACTTGATTGTGGATTAAGTCGTCAAAGATTCGAGTCATAGCCCGCTGGTAGGTTGCACTGGCATTTTTAAGGCCAAATGGCATCACTTTATAACAAAAGATCCCTATAGGACTTCTGAATGCAGTGTTTCTCTCGTCTTCTGGGGCCATCTTGATTTGATTATAACCAGACAAGCCATCCATAAAGGAGAAAATAACATGCGAAGAGGCGATGTCCACCATAAATTCTGGAATTGGCAAAGGAAATTCATCCTTAGGACATGCCTTATTCAGGTCTCTATAGTCAACACAGACCCGGATTTGACCATTTTTCTTTCGAACAGGTACGACGCTGGCTATTCAAGAAGGATATTATTCCTCCTGGATAAATCCGGCCTCGGCCAACTTCTTGACTTTAGAAATGATTTGTTGTTCGATCTCCAAACGCATGCGTCAGGGAGCTTATTTGACAGGAATGACATCATGCCAGATTCTAAGTTTATGAACTGCTACATCGGCGGACAAGCCCGACATTTCACCGTATGTCCAAGCGAAGTAGTCCTTAAACTTGGATAGAAGTTGAATTAGATCCTTAGACTCATCCTCACTCAACAAAGAACTTATAAAAGTAGGGCGAGAATCGTCTTCTATTCCAAGGTTGATTTCTTTAAGTTCATCAACTGTCGATTTAATTTCTTCTTCAAATTCAGGGGGTGCATCCCGAATTTGAACTTCATCTGAATCATCTAAGGTCTCCAAACAAAGTCTGTTGAGCGAATCAATGACTTCAGTAGGGACACTTTCAGATTCAAGATGGATGGTTATCATCAAGAAATATTCATCATCGTCAAACGAACTAACGGTACCAAAGCCGATACCACTTGTCCAATTTTTATTGAATTTTTAATTCCAAATATTTTGGTGGTATCGTGCTTGTCCTTTAGTCCATCGACTCGGAGCGAAACCTTTAGAGATAAGAGCTTTAACACCAACAGGAAAGTTGCCAAAAGGTAATTCCATTAATTCGTTGAAATCTGCCTCTTCTAGGATTACATCACCTTCATTCCTTGAAGGGGAGGTGCCAGGGAAGAACCTCTGGATTTTCCTTACTTCTCCATCTAAGTTAGGGGCATCCTTAGTTACTAACCCTGAGACTCTATCAACAGACAGTGGGGTTAAGGCTAAGGATTTAACTGCCCTATTAAGCTTTTCATACATAGTCAATTTAGGCTCATCATTTTGAGGTTTAGAATCGTTACCCTCCTGGTCACTATCTGAATCTAAAGTGAGATCAAACTTTGGAGGAAGATTGGATTTTTTTAGTCAAAAGCAATTCTGGCACCCCTTTTCCTTGGTTCTTCATCAGAACTTATTTCAAGTTTGATATACATTGGGGATTTCTTTTTTCAACTGAAGGGAGGCCTCGGCCGCGTGCTCTTTGGGCCATCCTTCCACCTCTTTGAGGTGGATTGATTGGAGGCCAAAAAACCATGCGCTCGACGTCGTCTTCACTACTAGAATCGTCTCTTTTTTTTATTCTTGACTTTTTCTTTTGCTTTTGAGCTTTGACTTTCTGCTTTTTCCTCCTTATCATTGATCTCTACCTTAGATTTGGTAGTGGACCCTTTAGGAACATAGTATGCAGCGTCCTCGTAGATCTCGACCTCGTGAACAGAGAATGGTTGCGGATCACCCTTAATTTCAAACTCAATATCATCTCGTTGGTACTTGATGCATTGATGTAGGGTGGAAGAAACCATCCTATACTCATGGATCCAGGGCCTACCTAGGAGCGCATTAAAGGACGTAGCCGAATCAATTATATGAAATTTCGCTTCAGTTTTTAACTCTCCTATCTCTAGAATAAGTGTGATCGAACCTAAATCCTTCTCACCCTTTTCATTGAACTTACGAAGCACCAACCTGTCGGTTGAGAGCTTGCTAGTATCAACTCTAAGGTATGCGAGAGTATTTATGTTTATCACGTTGACCGATGCACCCGGATCAACAAGAACTCTTGATAGTTTAAACTTTCCCACATTTACAGTGATGTAAAGTGGGCGATTGTGATCGGCAGTTCCAAGGAGTAGATCTTCGTCGGAGAAGGTAACTCCCAAGATTTCTTTGAAGTACAAAGCTTCTTCCTTGGAAGTTGAAGCGAGTTGAGCTAAGCAAATCTCGGGGTCGAGAAGTGCTTTAATTAGAGTCTCCCTCATCTCTTTTGAAAGGACAAGGGCATCGTAAATGCTCAACTTAGCAGGCAACTTTCTAAGGTGAGCTAAGACATTGTAATCGACGCTTGGAACATTAACATCGGGACCCAATGGATTTGAAGGAGAGTTTGATTATTGAGTAGAGACTTGAATCGGATTAGTGGAAACAACTTGTTTTCCTTTTTCCTGAGGGGGAAGCCTAGGGGGTAAAACCTTGCCACCACGCAGTTGCACTTGCACGATTTCATCGGAAGGACAAGCTACGGGGAGGTCTACGCTCTCCTTAGGCGGTTGATTGTCATTTTTTGAATGAGAATCTGAATCCGAAAATTCTATCACGATGGGACTCCCTTGAAAGTTAATTTCAGAGGTATCACCATCTGATAAGACATCATATTCATTTTCCCCTTGAGGGGAAAAATTTTGGAGAGCTGAGTTTTTGAACTTCTTGATTGACCTCAGCTGGTTTTGGGTTATTTTCAACAGAAGAGTCGTTTGAAATTACATTCTCAACATTAATCATCAAAATATTTGCAGAAATATCTTTCTTTTTATTTAATTTTCGACCCTTTGCCTTTGATGGGGCAAAGTAAAAGTCAGATAACTTTAGTGGGGCTAGTGGTTTTGAGCCGCCATCCCTCACTTGTACAGATCTCTCATCAACAAATTTCCTCTCTACAAAAGATTCACTCTTTTCATTTTTATTTGATACAGTAGTTCCTAAAACTACTGGAGAAGAAATCGTCCCAACATCCTCCTACGATGCCTCCAACTCAACCTCCCAGATGAGGCCCCGGGCTCTCATCGGTAACTGTTGAGAAAGACGAAAAGATTGGTTAATCGACTTTTTAAATGTCCGGGATAGTGCTATATCCCAATCATCTTCAATGGACAAAGAAAGATTAGAATTATTACCTGAGATGGATTTGACAGACCCCTGATCCGGATCTACCAAGTACTCCTTTGGAATTATAATGTTACCTTGACGGAAGTTCCTTTCAAGCCAGTCCATGAAAACAAAGCAGTCCTCGATTGTATGGCCCAACATGCGGTGGCAAGCGCAAAAATTGGGGTGATCCCCCTTATTTACCTCCTCCGGCTTCTTGGCCTCTGGCAATCGAAAGTCTGGATTCTTTTGGAGACTCTTGAAAATTTTTCTTATCGATTCTCTTTTAAAGGGATAAGGGCGAGCCAATCTCTCTTTAATAGACATCGGGTAAGGTCCTCTAGTGGGTTGAGAAGTTACCTGAAACGGTTGAGATTTCTAAATTTGTTGATCTTGAGGATTGTTTGCCTGAATATTAAGTGGTTTCTTTCCTTTGTCAACCGCTTTCCTTTGTCAACCGCTAAAACCGTCGCTGTTCTCTTTTCAAAGGACTTCAACGGTTTGCTAGCTTTCTTATCTTCAGCAAAATCCTTCAGGAATGGCATTTTGGAAGCCTCTTCCTGTAGATTACTAGCTTTGTTAAGAAGTTTTTCAAAGGTTTTGATTGTAAACCTCTTTAACAAGAAAGTAATAGGCCCGTGGATATTCTTTAAAAGAATCTCCACTATATGTTGTTCTTGTAATTGAGGTTCACATTTCATCGAGAGATTTCGCCATCTCAAGATGTAGTCAACCAAAGACTCGCCCGGTTTTTGCTTTTCGATGACGAGATCGCCAACGGTTACATGTTGTTGAGCTCATGAGAATCTTTTTAAGAAGAGACCCTCAAGCTCTATAAAAGTTTTTACGAAACCATTTGGCAAATATGCGTACCACTCAAAAGCGATATCGGACAGACTACTCACAAACTAGCGAAAAAGTAGAGCATCCGACCCTCCTGCATTGCAACAGCTTGCTCAGAAATGGGTCAGATGCTGTCTTGGGTTTTCTAAACCACTAAAGACTTTGAAAGAAGGTGGCACAAAGCTCTT